AAGACAAATTAAGTCATATATATGGATTTAATTATGATGTCGGAATGATCCAGATATCAAAGTGTAGCTTTTAAAGCCAAGAATCTGAAAATGTAATTAGGTCATTTTGAACAAATTTGACTTAATCCTCATTTCAATATGATGGGTCACATATGTATATTCAAATAAAAGAGGAAAACTCCTTCAGGGGTTGATTCCAAAGGCTTTTTTTTTTTTTTTTTTTTTTGCAGCAAGCTGTTGTCAAAAGAGGCACTCAGCCCTCATGCATAGAAATGAGGGGGAGCAAGCCTACAGAAAAGAGGGGTGCGCTTTCTCCCTTTTCATAGATTAGCACGGCCTTAATCTCATTAAAGTGCCCAGCAGTGAACACGCCGTACCACTCCGCCCCGGCCCTGTAATCAGCCCGAGACACATGGCTCATCTCAGATGGACGTGGACGAGCCCCGGCCCCTCGTTCACGACCACTGAAAGCCGAGCGGAACATGAAAGCCCGCGGGTGTGGAAACGGAGCCTCTGGCCAGGTAGGGGAGGCGGTGTAATTACAGAGCTGTTAGGGATAGGGTTGTTAGCTGGAGAGGCTGCAGGGAGGGAGAGTGGGCTAATTGCCAATCCTCCCTCCCTCTCAACAATTATTACCTAGACTGCATTAACTGTGCAAACAGGTGCGCTCAAACGAGACTGTGGAAATCTGAGGCTGTGACACACAACAAGAACATACTCCCACACAAAAAAAACAGCTCAAATCCATTCCRCCACTTTTCTCTGCTGTGGGTTGAGTTCACGGCAGGTAAAACAACCAAAATGAATCTCCTTTTAACCAGATTTACAACTTCCTGCTTTGTAAGTGTGTRAAAAAAAAACATTTACTGCAATAAAGGCCTAGCATTCCTTGAAGAAATGCACACCACCCTGCCGTATTTAATTCATCTGATGTTAAAATAAATGACAAAGTTGCAGCCTTTTTGGTCAAACCTTCAAAAGCACTTGTAAATGACTCTCAGCTACTACCACATCAAATATTAGCTCAACACCTGTAATACTGACAATGTTAAGGGTGGGTTTTGTTCATTAATTTTGTTTAGCTGCAGCAGTTTGAAAGTTTCATTATGATCTGTTGAGTGGTTGATGGGATATTTTGCTAACAGACAAACAAGAATGACTGTAATGCTGGAGTTTTAAGCAACAGCTATTTTTTGTTTTCTATTATGAGTTGGTTCTAGGAGCCAGCTTGAACTGGATTCAATACATTTAATTATTATTAATTCATTTTTAAAATCTTCTAAAGGGATTTTGAACAGCTGGGTTTTGAGGGCTTTCTGAAGATCTTACATTGTTTTTTTTTTTTCTTTGCACGTTAGCGTTTTATTTAGTATGGCTACTAAAAGAGATGGCCTAAGACTTTTGCACAGTGTATCTCTGCAATGACTGTTCCGTCACCCGTAGCGGCTGTTCCTGTTCCTCCTGGAGGAGCAGAGAGAAGACCCGGGTGCTCAGCGGGGCTTCATCAGCAGCGAGCAGCTGCTGCTGGAGCTGAAGGCCGGCGGCATCCGTCTGGACCAGGAGGCCGCCATCAGACTGGAGCTGCAGCACATTCCTCCACTGGACCTGCTGGACTTCCTGGCCCACCTGCCCCTCTTCATGCTCATTCACAAGTCTGTCATCTCCAACCCTCTCAATGACTCCAGCCTCTTCTGAGACATATTACCTCTGTCACAAAATGATGGGCCACAATATGCAGCCTAGGTTATGTAACAAGCACCCATAAGAATCCTCCCTTTCCACATTTTAACTCCATCCATGACCACACAGCCACCATGCTCCACCCAGGACTCCAAAAAGCTGCCACCTTATATCCTGACCTGCAGACCATCCACATTCTGTCTGATTTTATATATGTATTTATATTATTTTCATTCAAAATGCTGTTTTTTTTCTTTGCAAGTATTTTTAGTTGTGATCCTGGAGATATTAAAAATACATTTACTTCCTTATTAATGAACTATAACTTTATTGGCAGACTTAAATAATGGATTTTTGTTTGTTTTACTCACTATGATGAAAAAAGACAAGATGAAATCATAAATGTTAAATCTACAATTTTTTATTACTTCATTTCAATGGAACTTTTGCCCTCCTGGCAGACCTCTGTGTGGTCCACGGACCCTTATTTGAAAACTCATATTTCTTTCTTTCTTGAAAATAAGCAAAAATAATGTGGGAATCCGGGTCTAATGGGTTTTATTCTTTCTTTCCTCCTTTATTTTATTT